TTTATATTTTTTACTAGTGGGTGCAGGACACTATAGTTCATTGATGTAAGTGAGGATAGCAAAATAAAGTAAACTGTGACAAATCATACCCAAAAATTCTTCATACAGTGGACTACCAGTAAAATGTATACAAATATGGGTCCAAAAATGATTCAGACCGAGTCTGAGAAAAAAATTGAAGTTCAGGTTTGCATGAAGCTGGATGACAGCATGCCCAAGCTTGACAAATGTGGAATTGAGACTAAATTACAAGGTATGTAAAAGTGAGTCCGTTCATAATAAGTAATTTGAAAAACTGACTAGACTGAGCAGCTTGTTTTGTAAATATGATTTACGCTGTGTTTTAGAGCTGTGCTTAAAGAACCTCAATTCTTTGGCCTCTTTCAACCTGATTACCATGGATGAAGACATTAACATCAAGCCCACAGGTTGCTGATGATGCTGTTTTTTCAATTAAAATATATGAAGTTTAATTTAGCTCTCCTTTTCTCTTTTTATTATTATTTAGTGTCTTAATCAAATTTGTCTTTGGTTGTAATGTCCATATAATGGAATGCTCACACACAGAAACTGGAAAACTCATGGCCAGGTACTGTGTTGCTTTTGACACTGTGAAGCAGTTCAGTATGGTGACAGGAACAGAGACATTACCCGAGCTGGTAAGAAAGCTTTGTTGTTCTTGCAGCATTTCCTGATCCATTGATATTAACTGCTTCAGAACATCATATAATGATATAAACACTTTTTCTCACTTTCTAGATTGAAATGATATCGAAGGGGAAAGAATTCAGTGATGTGCAGTTGAGAGTAAATGAAAAGAAAACCTTGAACATGTTGAACAAGGATAAGAACAGAACCACCATCAGGTCATAGTTGTCTTCAGTTACCTAATACCCATATACTATAAAATAATATTTTTTAAGTTGTAAAAATAAAAAGATTTCTAGAGTATCTTTTACAAGAAAATACTATTTCAGTTTTTCTTACGTTTAGTTTGTGAAAATTAAAGGCAATTTCTGAGTGAAAACTGTTTCTACACCATTATTTTCAGTGTAGCTAACATATTGAATAGGTAGACTAAATCATGTGAGTTGTAATGTTGTTGTTTTTTAGGTTTCCTATGGAAGGAAAGATCAAAAGTAATGACATGAAAGTGAATTGGTAAGGTCTTGTTATTACCTGTTGGATGTACACTTTTGCCACTTGATTGCATGGCTTGCGTATTTGTTTTGTTTTTTGTTTATTTATGCATGCAGTTATCTTCTCATCCTAGTCTGATTCAAGCTCAGCTCAGCTGCATACCCATTCAGGAGTTTGGACTCATACAGGACACTGGAAAAATATTCAGAAATGGAAATAGAGTCAGCAGATGTAGGTTACTTACATGTCTCTCTTTAAGCTTTTGCTCTCTCTGTCTGATGGCATGGCCATGAAACTGTAAATGTGCAATTTTTTCTCGTGCCACTTTTTACTTAGCATAGATTTAACAAAATGCTGCTTTTGATCTCTGCCAGATCTGACTGAGTTTCTCAGTCATCACTCCAAGTCGAATTTCTCAGCTCGACTCAACTCTTTAATTCTTGCCAAATGTTTTCGAGCTAAACTGTGGGAGAACTCGCCTTACGTCTCCAGACAGCTTGAGAGGATAGGTCAGGCAACATCTCTAAAATTTTTAAAAGGTTTCCTTTAAAATTGTAGTGTATTTGTTGTACTAAATGTGTGTGCTTTTTATATTTGGGGTCTTATTTTTT